AAACCTTGTCTCTACTAAAAATACAAAAAATTAGCCTGGTGTGGTGGCAGGTGCCTATAGTCCCAGCTACTCGGGGGGCTGAGGCAGGAGAATGGTGTGAACCTGGGAGGCGGAGCTTGCAGTGAGCGGAGATCATGCCACTGTACTCCAGCCTGGGTGACAGAGTGAGACACTGTCTCAAAAAAAAAAAAAAAAAAAAAAAAAAGTGATACAGCCATACAATGGAATATTATTCAGCCATAAAAAATGAAATTATAGAAATGTTTTGGAACTAGATAGAAGTGGTGGTTGAACAACATTGTGAATGTACTAAAAGCCACTTAAATTTTCATTTATTTATTTATTTATTTATTTATTTATTTATTTATTTTTTGAGACGGAGTCTTGCTCTGTCACCCAGGCTGGAGTACAGTGGCCGGATCTCAGCTCACTGCAAGCTCCTCCTCCTCTCGGGTTCACGCCATTCTCCTGCCTCAGCCTCCCGAGTAGCTGGGACTACAGGCACCCGCCACTTCGCCCGGCTAGTTTTTTTTTTGTTATTTTTTAGTAGAGACGGGGTTTCACCGTGTTAGCCAGGATGGTCTCGATCTCCTGACCTCGTGATCCGCCCGTCTCGGCCTCCCAAAGTGCTGGGATTACAGGCTTGCGCCACCGCGCCCGGCAATTTTCATTTAAATTAAAATTTCACTTTAATTTTTTTTTGAGATGGAGTTTTGCTCCCAGCCGTGTCCAGCCCAGCTCCATTGTTTCCTAATGTCCTGAGTGGACTCTGATGTTTGGGTTTTTCTGTTGTCAGTGTCATCTTTGTGTTCTCTCTCTCTCTCTCAACATTTAGGATTTTCTCTTAATCTTTAGAATTCCGATATTTCACCAAGAAATGTGTAGGCAGGTGAGGATGCTTTCCCAGTAAACCTGCTCAACATTTGGTAGGCCCTCTCCCTCCCCTCCCCTCCCCTTCCCTTCCCTTCCCTTTTTCCTTCCTTCCTTTCTTCCTTCCTTCCTTCTTTCTTTTTTTCTTTCTCTCTCTCTTCCTTCCTTCTTCTTCTTTTTTTTTTGAAACAGGGTCTTGCTTTGTCACCTAGGCTTTGTCACCCAGAGTGCAGTGTTGCAATCTTGGTTCGCTGCAGCCTCAACCTCCCAGCCTGAAGTGATTGATTTTCCCACTTCAGCCTCTGGAATAGCTGGGACTACAGGCGCGCACCAGTCTGCCTGGCTAATTTTTTTTCTTTTTTTCTTTTTTTTTTTTTTTGTAGAGACAGAGTTTTGCCATGTTGGCCAGGCTGATCTCTAACTCCTGAGCTCAAGCGATCCGCCTGCCTTGGCTTCCCAAAGTGCTGGGATTATAGGCGTGAGCCACCGCACCCTGCCTTGGTGGGTTAGTTTTAATTTAACTGAAATTTTTTTTTCTATTTATTTTCTTCTCTTCATTTTCTCACCCCCTGTGACTCCTTTGAGATGGTTGTTGGATAAATCCTCCTGGATTTATCCTCTATGTCTTTCTTTTTTTCCAAAAGAGAAAAGTCTGCCTTTTTGCTTGATTTTCTAGATTTCCTTTATTTTTCAAATCATGAATTGGCATCTTAAATTATGTCTATTCTATTATTCAATCCCTCTGTTAAATTTTAAAATCTTGGCTGGATGTGGTGTCTCACGCCTGTAATCGCAGCATTCTGGGAGGTTGAGGCGAGTGGATCACTTGAGGTCAGGAGTTCGAAAGCAGCCTGGACAACATGGTGAAATCCCATTTCTGTTAAAAATACAAAAAAAAAAAAAATTAGCCAGACATGGTGGTAGGCACCTGTAATCGCAGGTACTTGGGAGGCTGAGGCAGGACAATCGCTTGAACCAGGGAGGTAGAGGTTGCAATGAGCCGAGATGGCACCACTGCACTCCAGCCTGGGCGACAGAATGAGACTATCTCAACAACAACAGCAACAAAAATTTAAAATCTTTGTTGTAGTTTCCCACACTCCTACCCCAAGAACTCTTGTTTGCTGGTTGCCCTTTTTGAGTCACTTTCGTTTGAAGGACACAGCATCTATTTTTATTCTGTGTGTATTAATTAATTAATTAGGCTTTTTGCTGAATCCGCATTCCAACCAGATGTGTAAGTGACATGCTCTACACCCAGGCCATTCCCCGCTCCAGACAGGTACTTACCTGATGTAGTTTTGTTCTGAAGGGGCATCTTCCTACAGCCCATGTCCCTCTCCCAGGGTCCTCTTCTTAGCATGGTACCTGAAGTCTCGCTCAGCCCCAGCCCAGCCCCCACTTCATGCTCATTATACCCTGAGACTTGCAGAAACCCTGCCTGCTCACAAGTGTCACCCTTGGAGTTGAGAGGAGTGACCAAAGTCATTTAGGAAAGTTGACACTTTTCCACAGGATTCTGAGCATAAGTCATATTTAGCTTACATTGTTAGGTAAAATTTATATACAATGAAATGCACAGATCTTAAGTATACTATTGAATGTTTTGACAAAAGTGTACACCTGTGTGACCAGCTCCTCCAAGAAGAGATGATATTTCTGGTACCCACAAAAGCTCCCTTATGTCTCTTTGGAAACGTGAAAGGAAAATAAAATACTTGGGACCCCGATTCACTGTGCCAAAAGAAACAAATTAAGCTGAGAGCTGAGTCATGCAAGAAGCCGCCTTTCCTTTTGTTCCTAAGCAGAGAGCTACAGATGAAAGGTGAAATACCTCCACAGGTAGCTGCTCTATGTTCATCTCATCTTATGTCAAATGCCGGTTTCCTGAGTGCCAGGAGAAGACATCATTCACTCTTCCCTACCTGCTCCTTTTCTCTTACAACTTGTGGATGCAGTAATGTCACTCTACTGAATGTGACTCTTTCTCTTTCAGCCCGCTTTGCCCCTGTAAATATTGAAGCCCTCATATCACATTTGGATGATTTGGAGAAAGGCACAGACCTGTTTCTGAGGCATTGTCCTTGACTGTGGCACCTTTTTTTTTTAGATAGAGTCTTGCTGTCACCCAGGCTAGAGTGCAGTGGCGTGATCTCAGCTCACTGCAACCTCCACCTCCCAGGTTCAAGCAATTCTTCTGCCTCAGCCCCCAGAGTAGCTGGAACTACAGGTGTGTGCATGCCCGGTGAATTTTTGTATTTTTAGTAAAGACGGGGTTTCGCCAGTACAGGCTGGTCTGAAACTCCTGGGCTCAAGTGCTCTGTCCACCTCAGCCTCCCAAAGTGCTGAGATTACAGGCATGAACCACTGGACCTGGCCAAAATAAACTTCTAAATCAATTGTGGCCTGTCTCAGATACTTTTTGGTTTACATAATCAATCCCCAAGCAACCACTGTTTTCTTTCACTGTATTTTTGCCTATTTTTGAACTGCTTAGAAATGGAATCATCTGGTATGTTTCTATAATGTGAAATCCCTCCTTGTTTTGTTGTATTCATAGTGGGTTTTTTTTTTTTTTTTTTTTTTTTTTTGCTGCTGAGTAGCGCATTCCGTTTTCTGAATGTAGCACATTTACCTCCTTTTGAACATGTGGCTGTTTCTAGTTTTTGGCTGTTAGGAACATTCTAGTATACCATTTCTCTTGGCTAAATACATAGGAGAAGAATTCTGGGTCATGTGGTGGGATAGTGTGCATTTTTGAGTTTTTCTCTACAAAGCTAGAGTTAGGTGTGCCTCACACTGCCTGGCCTGCAGGGGGCGCTGTGAGGCTACAGAGGGGACAGTGGACTTGAAGGGTAGAGGAGCCTGGGGCCACCCCAAGTTCCAGGTCTTCACCCCTAGAGGCCGCTGGCTGCCCGTCTGCCCACCTGAAGGACCTGCAGGGCCCTCCTTCCTCTCACACACCTTTGAGGCAACAGCTAAGCACGTGGCATTCTCACAGCCTTCAGTGATCCCCTTGGCCCAAGTCATGATCCTGTCCCCAAAGCTCAGTGGACCCTCCCAGCCTGTTGCCCAGGCTGCGCTCGGGGCTCCACGCTTCCTCCTACATGCCCCCTTCCAGCTCCTCATGGGTCAGTTTGGGGCCTGGCTTTCCTGTCATGGAGACAACCCTTCACCTGCCAGGATGGCTGGACTGTCCAGTGAGAGCAGGGCTTTCTCTGTTGGAAAGATCTGCAAGGCCTGCATGTGGTGACTCCAGGCCTTATGCTCAGGTCGTCAGTGGAGGGAGACACTCCAGGTCCCAGAGGGAAACAGCCCCTAGGCTTCTCCTGTGCCCACCGTGCTCAGCCCATATGCCAGCCTGATTCAGACCCTTGGAGACCCTGATCTCTGAGGAATTGACACCCCCTGCCCTCCTCACCTCCACCGGAGTGAACCTCAGTGAGGATCAATACTAAGTTGCAGGCTGGGCACGGTGGCTCACGCCTGTAATCCCAGCACCCTGGGAGGCCAAGGAGGGTGGATCACCTGAGGTCAGGAGTTTGAGACCAGCCTGGCCAACATGGTGAAATCCTGTCTCTACTAGAGATACAGAAAATTAGCCAGGTGTGGTGGCAGATGCCTATAATACCAGCTACTCAAGGAGGCTGAGGCAGGAGAATTGCTTGAACCTGGGAGGTGTATGTTGCGGTGAGCTGAGCCGAGATCACGTCATTGCACTCCAGCCTGGGCAACAAGAGCAAAACTCTGACTCACCAAAAAAAAAAAAAAAAAAAAAAAACCTAAAAACTAAACTGCAAGGAAGGCCATCAAATTTATTTTTCTCATAACAATTGCTTGGATGCTTTTTTTAAAAAGTAAAATTAAAATAATCAGTGTGAACAAAATTATCCTTTTTTTTTCTGGTTTCTCGTCTTCCTCTGCCCCCGGCGCCCTGGCCCCCACCCCCTGCCAGTTGGTTGGGGTCGCTAGCCGGAAACACCTACACTTCTGGTCCCCCAGGCCCTTGGTGCCCAGTAGCCTGGGAGCACTTCAGGAGCCTTGGCTCCTGGGCCCTGCCCTGGCATTACCCTCTGCACCCTGCCAATCAGTAACTTTTGCTGAATGAACAAAATAATGCTTACATCAACTTTAGGCTTTTAGAATCCATTAATCCATTCTTTTCCAAGCAAAGGTGGTAATGAAAATGGAAAAGAAAACCATTCTAGAAAGAAGACAAGGAAGAGAGTGGAAATGTATTGCTGTAAAATACACTGCCGTTTCAGACAGTAGGAGCCTCCTCCAAGTCATTTCTTTCCCTTTGCTGGCTCTGGTGGCTTGGCGGGTTCTGGTCCCTTGCCCTGCTGGGGTTCTTTTTCTTTGCCTGGAGGAGAAATCAGCTTATGCTTTTTGGCCCTCTTGCCTCTGAAGTTGTTTCTTTGAAGACACATATCGATCAAAGCAAAAACTCCAGCCACACCAACAAGGATCTGGAAAACAAAAGGGTCCTCATGACTTTTGCTTTTCATTCCAAACGTGGTGAGTTTCCCTCCTGGTTTCTCGTTCATCAGTGGGTGCTGTGTCACACGTCCCCCATGTCCCCTCAAATGTCAACCAGCCCTGAGAGTCTAGAAGCATGCCTACTCCTTCAGCCTCGGCCTTCTCCACTCCCCCATCCTGCCATCTCACCTGTTTCTCTTCTGTCTTGAAACCCAGCCAGAGCGGGACTGTTTGCTCTGGGGTCGGCAGCTACAGGAAGGAACCTGGGCTGGCTCCCCGGACATCATCTTTATTTAAATGGTGGCTCCATTGGAAACATCTGTCTACTTTACTTTTTTTTCCTTTGAGACGAAGTCTCGCTCTGTCATCCAGGGTGGAGTGCAGTGCCACAATCTCTGCTGACTGCAACCTCTGCCTCCTGGATTTAAGCAATTCTCCTGCCTCAGCCTCCCAAGTTGCTGGGATTACAGGCATGCGCCACCATGCCTAGCTAATTTTTGTATTTTTAGTAGAAAATACATTTTCTACTAAATTTTGTAAATTTTGTATTTTTGTATTTCACCATGTTGGCCAGGCTGGTCTACAAACTCCTGACCTGAGGTGATCCACTCGCTTCGGCCTCCCAAAGTGCTGGGATTACAGGCATGAGCCACTGTGCCCGGCCTACTTCACTTTTAAACTTTACTTTGATCCCAAGATTTTTGTGAAAAATAAAGAAGCCCTTTCCTTAAACAGAGGACAACACCCATTCTCCAAAAGAGGTGAATTCAGAGCAAATGCATGGCCCAGCCTGGAAAGACTCACCACAGCAAGTAAGTAGTGGAGATGCATGGATCGCCGACTTCTCACAGCAAAGACCACGGCTCCCACCAGGAACGCACAGGCAAACAGGTCGTTGAAGAGGTCCTGAAGGTGGAGAGGTGAGTCAGCCTCAGCCAAAGCCAGGGCCCCCGGCAACAAACACTGCACCCTGGTTAGCTTCCTCCAAAGGAATGATTTGCAAACTTCCACCTGATTTAAAAACGTATGCATAAAGATAAACACACACCGGGCTAGGTGGACATATCTGTGGCCCTCCAGCTGGGCTTTTTAAATTGAAACCTAAAAAGTCCAGGATGCTAAAATGCCCTCATGCTGAAGCCTGTGAAGTCACCAGCCCCCTCTTCTACCATCTCTCTGTGAAATCACACATTTGGTTTCTGCCTATGTCTCCTCCCACCAATACTCATTTATTATTTTTATTTTCTATTTTTTGAGACAGGGTCTTACTCCGATTACGCAGGCTGGAGTGTGGTGGCGCAATTTCTGCTCACTGCAGCCTCGACCTCCTCAGGCTCAGGTGATTCTCCCACCTCCGACTGCCACTACGGGCGTGTGCCACCAAGCCCAGCTAATTTTTTTTTTTCTTTTTTTTTTGTATTTTTAGTAGAGATAGGGTTTCACCATGTTATCCAGGCTGGTCTCAAACTCCTGGACTCAAGCGATCTGCCTTCCTCAGCCTCCCAAAGTGCTGGGATTATAGGCCTAGGCCACAGCACCCAGTCAATACTCATTTAAATAAATACACAACTATAAAACATCATGATGTCCCTCTTAAGGACCCCACCACTGACTTTCAGCTCCCAGGGCCAGCTCCCCGCTCTGGCTGGGTGGGCTGCATTGGCTCTGATGGACTTTAGCATCTCATTGGGAGCCTGGCAGCTTCCTCTGCAACCCGCTGCCCTCAGCCTGACTTCCTAGACCCCTTTCCCTCCTTACAAGGTGGCACCACCTCTCCCTTCCTCAACCCTCCTGCCCATCCCCTGTGACTTCAGTCTCACCCTCCCCATACCATATACTCGTTTCCCTCCTGCTACTGGCAAGGCATTGCCAAACTTCTCAGAGCTGGCCAAACCATGGCCATAGCAGGCTGGCTTCCTCTCGAATCTCTCCTGGGGCTAGAGGATGGGGTGAGAAGCAGCTGATCCTGCAGCGCTGGAAGACACCTGCCATTCCCCTTGGTTTCTATAATGCCATTTCCTGCTGTTGTCCTTCCCTGGCCACTTTGTTTCAGGCCTTTTCTTTTTTAATGTTTTGAATTTTGATACATTTCAAATGCCCAGAAAATAATAGAACATCCTACCTCCAACTCCCACCTCTACCAGGCCAGGAGCCACTGACATTTAACAGATGTTAACGTCTTGCCAATGTCCCCTTTAGGCCTCTCTGAAATCAAGAAATCCAACTTCACAGATGGAGCTGCAGCCCCCTCGCTTCCTTCCCGCTTACTGTCCCTCATGCCTCCCTCCTCCAACTTTTGGAAGCTGATGTGTAGTTTTCCCGTCTGAATTTGTGCTTTTCTACATATTATATATTCATAAACAATGTATACTATTTTGTGTATTTCAAAATACACTTTTTATATTTAAATAAAAAGTATCCTACCTTTCAATGCTTGCTTTTGCCTTTTGAGATTTATCCACATTGAGAAATATAGATTTATTCTTTTTTTTTTTTTTTTTTTTTGAGACAGAGTCTTGCTCTATTGCCCAGGCTGGAGTGCAGTGGCGCGATCTTGGCTCACTGCAAGCTCTGCCTCCTGGGTTCATGCCATTCTCCTGCCTCAGCCTCCTAAGTAGCTGGGACTACAAGCGCCTGCCACCACACCTGGCTAACTTTTTGTATTTTTAGTAGAGATGGAGTTTCACCATGTTAGCCAGGATGGTCTTGATCTCCTGACCTCGTGATCCGCCCACCTTGGCCTCCTAAAGTGCTGGGATTACAGGCGTGAGCCACTGCGCCCGGCCAGATTTATTAATTTTAACTGATGTAGCCTACTATAGGAATGAACAAAATGAGACACAGGGTGTTTCTACCATGCGCTGTAATCTTGAACTCCTGGGCTCAAGCGATCCTCCCCACCTCAGCCTCAGTTGGGACTACAGGCGCCTGCCACTGTGCAATTAAAAACATTGTTTTTGTAAGCTGGGCGCAGTGGCTCACGCCTGTAATCCCAGGACTTTGGGAGGCCAAGGCGGGCGGATCACCTGAGGTTGGGAGTTTGAGACCAGCCTGACCAACATGGAGAAACCCCATCTCTACGAAAAATACAAAATTAGCTAGGTGTGGTGGCGCATGCCTGTAATCCCAGCTACTCAGGAGGCTGAGGTATGAGAATCTCTTGAACCTGGGAGGCAGAGGTTGCAGTGAGCCAAGATCATGCCATTGCACTCTAGCCTGGGCAACAAGAGCAAAACTCCATCTCAAAAAAAAAAAAAAAAATTGTTTTTGTAGAGGCAGGGTTTCCCTATGTTGCCCAGGCTGGTCTCCAAGCCCTGGACTCCGGGACTCAAGTGATCCTCCTGCCTTGGCCACCCAAAGTGTCAGGATTATAGGTGTGAGCCACTGTACCTGGCCTATGATGTCTTCTGTTGAAGTTTTAATTTTAATGGGATACATAGTCTATCTCTCTCCCTCCCTTCCTCTCTCTCCACAAATCCCAGGGACATTTATTGAATATTCTATTCAACTGTTTTATAATGCTACCTCCGTCATATACCAAGTTGCCATATGTTTGTAGATCTATTTCTGAGTTTTCTTTTCTATTCCTGTATTAGTCTACTCAGGATGCCATAATAAAATATCCCAGACTGGGTGACTTAAACAACAGACATTAACTTTCTCGCAGTTTTGGAGGCTGAAGTCCATGAGCAAGGTGCCAGGAAATTCAGTTTCTGGTGAGGGCTCTCTTCCGGGCTTGCAGATGGCTGTCTTCTCACTACGTTTTCACATGGCCTTTCTTTGATGCGTGCGTGTGTATGTGTGTGTGCATGTGTGCGTGTGTGTGTATGTAGAGAGAGAGCAAGAGGGAGAGAGAATTCTCTGCTCTCTTCTTATAAAGATACTTACTTACTGGCTGGGTGTGGTGGCTCACACCTGTAATCATAGCACTTTGGGAGGCCAAGGCAGGCAGATCACCTGAGGCCAGGAGTTCAAGACCAGCTAGGCCAACATGGCAAAACGCTGTCTCTAGTAAAAATACAAAATTAGCCAGGTGCAGTGGTGCATGCCTGTAATCCTAGCTACTCAGGAGGCTGAGGCAGGAGAATGCTTGAACCGGGCGGTGGAAGTTGCAGTGAGCTGAGATTGTGCCACTGCACTCTAGCCTGGGTGACAAGAGCAAAACTCTGTCTCAAAACCAACAAACAAAAAACAAGACACTTATTTGATCAGGGCCCCAATATTCTGACCTCATTTAACCTTAATTACCTCCTTAGAGGCCGCATCTTCAAGTACAGCTACAGTGGAGTTAGAGCCTCAGCATATGGTTTTGCAGAGTGGCAGACACAAACATTCAATCTGTAACAATTTCATTAGTCTTCTTGTCAGTCCCTGAGCTAGTACCAAAGCTTTATGGTAAATCTGATATCTTGTTGTCTGAGTCCATCCTTGTTAGTATTTTTTCTTCCTCCATAAGAATTTTAGAATCACCCCGTAAAGTTCCATGAAAAACCCATGTTAGGTTGAAATTTTATTTAATTTATAGATTAATTCAGAATTGAATTGATATCTCTATGATAATAAGTTTTCATATTTATGAATGTGGAATGTTTCTCTATTTACATTTTCCTTTGATATCCATTAATAAAGTCTTATATTCTCTATGTAGCGTCTTACATATCTTTCAGTAGGTTTATTCTTAGTCACTTTGTAGTTTCTCTTGCTGTTTTAAGTGGTTTCTTTTAAAGAGCTTTTTTTTTTTTTTTTTTTTTTTTTTTTTTTTTTTTTTTGAGACAGAGTCTCACTCTGTCACCCAGGTTGGAGTGCAGTGGCTCCATCTCGGCTCATCCCAACCTCCGCCTCCTGGGTTCAAGAGATTTTCTTGCCTCAGCCTCCCGAGTAGCTGGGATTACAGGCAGGCACCACCATGCCTGGTTAATTTTTGTATTTTTAGTACAGACGGTGATTCACCATGTTGGCCAGGCTGGACTCAAACTCCTGACCTCAAGTGATCCACCCACCTGGGCCTCCCAAAATGTTGGGATTACAGGCGTGAGCCCCCGTGCCCAGCCAAAAAAAATCATATATTTCTCATTGTTCATTGTTGGTATTCAGGAACACTATTGCTTTTGTGTCTGGTAACCTTGTGGAACTCAATCAGTTCTAGTGATTTCACTGTAGATTCTCCTAGATTTTCTGTGTAGATAATTCCATTAGATTTTGTTTCTTCCCAATTTCTATCACCTTTTGTTTTCCTTATCATATTGTACTAAGATCTCCATCACAATGTTGAATAGAAGAAAAGCTAGTACGCATCTCTAAGGAAATGCTCGTGGAGTGTCACTATAAAATACAGTTTGTGTGGGTTTGGATAAATGCCTTTTTTTTTTTTTTTTTTTTGAGACGGAGTCTTGCTCTGTCACCCAGGCTGGAGTGCAGTGGCCGGATCTCAGCTCACTGCAAGCTCCGCCTCCCGGGTTTACGCCGTTCTCCTGCCTCAGCCTCCCGAGTAGCTGGGACTACAGGCGCCCGCCACCTCGCCCGGCTAGTTTTTTTGTATTTTTTAGTAGAGACGGGGTTTCACCGTGTTAGCCGGGATCGTCTCTCGATCTCCTGGCCTCGTGATCCGCCCGTCTCGGCCTCCCAAAGTGCTGGGATTACAGGCTTGAGCCACCGCGCCCGGCCCTTGAGCCACCGCGCCCGGCCTTTTTTTTTTTTTTTTGAGACGGAGTCTCACTCTGTCACCCAGGCTGGAGTGCAGTGGCACAATCTTGGCTCACTGCAAGCTCTGCTTCCTGGGTTCACGCCATTCTCCTGCCTCCGCCTCCTGAGTAGCTGGGACTACAAGCGCCTGCCACCACGCCTGGCTAATTTTTTTGTATTTTTAGTAGAGATGGGGTCTCACTGTGTTAGCCAGGATGGTCTCA